ATGTTCTTCCTGGCCATGCGCCTTCGCAGGGTTCTCACGTGACTGGTAATATATTAATCTTGGTTTGTTTAAGCCACTTTTTCGCCCAAAAACTGTCTAATCCACCCTTCTCCTACGCATTTCTCACGCAAAGTAGCCCAGGCGTTGTTGTTTGTAAGTATGCAAAGTCCATTGGCTACTGAAAAAGAGCTCGAAAAACTGCCTGACACCATTAGCTCTCTCCCACACTTCGTCGTTCATAATTTTACTCTTTTTGACATCCGATTTAGCACATAGCGCTATCGGAGCGCAATCAAACCAAATTTACTGAGGCGAGCAAGTGTGCATCCACTAGAGTAGATGCGATTCAAAGTAATGATTTACTGCGATGCTCAGCCCGTAGAGTTTAGGGATAAACTATAGAAGAGAAATGCTTAAGAAAAACAAACCGAAAATTGCCTTTTGACCCCTCATGGGTCAGTAGATTATGCGAACCTTTGGGCTTTGCTGCCCATGCCACATGAAAGGTCCTACTTTGGGCTTTGTTTCATCTTTCCTCGAAGAGTGCGAAGGTAGGTACTTAACAGAACATTTTAACTCCAACACAGCTTGCGCAGTCACCAAAGGTTTACACAAACAAATTAACAACTACGACATGTTACTTTTAACTGCCCGCACAGGAACCATTAATTTAAAGGAATAGGTTAGCGGGGCCAGGGGAGACACTTCAGCTCTGATCCTCTGAATGAATAGTATAGTAGTGTGTGTTGCTGCAATTTGTTGACATATCATTCAAGAAACCAAATTAATTCTTTCTTACGAGGAAATTCGTAATTCTTATTTATGTTTTCATCAGACCGCTACGCCTGGACGATAATACGATGTTTCATCCAAAAAGTAATTCTTTGATGTACATCACAAAATCCCGAAAAGAATAATCACTAGACCCGAAGAGTCTTTTGCTCTATTGCTGTCAGTAACACCAAGATAAGACTAAGCTTGACATCGGCCGGAGTTTTTTGATTATTTTCCTCTGAATTTTCGTTATCAAACCAAATAGATTTTTCCTTTCCCTTGGAAGACTTTTTTTTCTGAAAATTTAACACCAAGCGCGAAGGGCCCATTTGGTCTTTTTCTTATCAACCACACTAAGTACATCAGTGGAATCACAGCGGATGCAATGTCGTCCCACGTGCTCCTACAACAACAAGATAAAGTCGCTTAGTAAATTCCACTCTACAACGTCTTGTGGAAGTCATGTACCAATTTCATCAAACGGCGTTTTTGTCTTTTTGAAGGTCAAAAATTGAAAACGCAAAAATAGCATCCTGGCCGACGAGCTGTGTCCACTTGTCGCAATTTTACCAGGGTTTAAGAAATTATCTCTGGGTATTCTTCCGGTGCCACCAAACTGTTGGCGTCCAATTTGACCTCTGCAGTTCTTTACTCAGCTTCTTTTAAAGTTGGACTCTTCTAAGCACTCCTATGATGCATGGAGAAGGTTTTCGGCAGTAGCCAAATTGTCTTAGATTTGCGTGCCCTACGGGGCAGTTAAGAAGGAAGAGACTTTCGTCCTTTTATGTGATTCGCCCGTACCGTCGACATTTAGATACAGAAGAGCCGAGGGTCTTGGTCCTGAATGTTGAATTCCTGACTTCGTCAGATGTAGATCTGGGTATTTTGACAAGAACTCGTAAATTCTCAAAAAACTCCTTGATTATGACATCAGATACCATTGACTGCCGAATCACAATTTTGCAACACGGTTTCACGAACCT